TGAAGAAAGAAGACCGGTGGTGAAGATGACAGAATCAGGACTTGGCCTACCCCCTTGCTTTAAAGAACTTTTATTTTAAAAAAAAAAAAACCTGACCCACCTTTTCCCTCTTCAGATCTGTAACCAGCCCAGAAAAATCACTTGAAGGTGGATTTTGGAGGAAAGATCAGTGGCGCTGGAGGGAGAGGGGCTATTGAAGATTATAGGCAAACCCAGGGCGAGACTGTCAGGGTGGCCAGCCCATCCTTTTTACCCTCCCTCCTGGTTCCCTGTAGGCTGCCTCAGCCTCCCTTTCCAGCCCCGCTCCTGCGCCCTGTTGGGTGCCGCCCCCTCCTGCTGCTGCCTGCGTGCAGGGAGCTGGGTCCTGGGCTAGACTGTCCGGAGCTCGGGGAGGGTGGTCCAGGGAAAACCTCTGGAGTGCCGGCTGGAAGTGGGGAGTAGAGGCAGTGGTGTCGGGAAAGAAGGAGGGCTGGGGAGGAACAGGAGAGATGGTGGCAGAGTGGGGTAGCGGCTATAGGGCTTGGGGAGGGAGGGGGAGGTTGAAGGAGGAGGATCTGGGGAAAAGTGAGGAGTTGGAGGGTGAGAGGGTTCCCTTTGCCTGGGAGTGGTGTCCGAGGGAAGAGGTGGGGGTCTGACAGCCAGATGAGGCGGGATGAGGGCTCAGGTGAGGGTCTAAAGGTGGAGGTGGAGATCTGAGGGCACAGGTGAGGGTTTTGAGGGTAGGGGTGGTGGCTGAGGGCTGGGAGTTGGAGTCTGAGGCGGAGTACGTACAGGTCTGAGAGCGCAGGTGAGGGTCCGAAGGTGGAGGTGTGGATCTGAGGGGCGGAGCCAGGTCGAGGGAGGAAGCCCAGTCCAAAGGCTGAGGTTCCAGCCTATGGACAAAGAGGCCCCGGGGGCGGAGCAGGGAGGTCCGCACGGCCGGCTGGGGCTAGGGGAGGCGCAGAAGCACGGCGCCCCGGCAGCAGGAACTGGCACGTGGGTCTGGGCTCCGCGATGCGGGTGCCCTTGGGCGCTCTGGCCGGGGCGGCGGCGCTCACCGGGGCGCTCAGCTTCGTGCTACTGGCTGCCGCCATCGGCACGGACTTCTGGTACATCATCGACACCGAGCAGCTGGAGCTCAGCAGTCTTGGGGCGCGGGATCCGGAGGGGGCCGCCAACCTCAGCCAGCCCGAGCCTCTGAGCTCCCACTCTGGCCTCTGGCGGACCTGCCGGGGTAAGGGTGCACCCGGGAGCCGGGGGCTTTGGCCGCGAACGCCCCTCTGCGCGGTGCCCTGCTTGCCTGGGACCTGTTGCTTGGCTTGCACCCCTCCCCTAAGCCCCAAAGCACTAAATGTGGTGTCTGGGAGCGGGGCGGCAGAGGACTGGGGCTGCAAACGCCCTTCCGAGAGGTGCCCAGCTCTGCCCGGCAACCGGTTAGCTCTCCCCACGCCCACCCTGTGTGGAGCATCTCGGTTGGGCGAAGCCACGGGTGGGGGGTCGGAACTCCAGGGTCCCGGCCCATTGGTTTCTCCACCTGTCCAGTCCAGAGCCCGTGCACGCCGCTGATGAACCCCTTCTGGCAGGAGAACGTGACAGTCAGTGAATCCAGCCGACAACTTCTCAGTGAGTCTGGGGAGGGTGGGGATGGAGGAGCATCCCGGATCTGGCCACTGGTCTTGAAACCCTTCTCCTAATAGCTGGGCCAGGGCGCTGACAACGAGTGAAAAAAGGGGGGTGGAGGGCGTTAAAACCAGGAGGCAGGGCTTCCTTGTTCCACTTGTGACTTGTGATAGTGACCTTACAGGACAGAGTAAAACTGCCCCTTGGGGTTTCCACGGAGCAGCTGGTGGATTCGAACTGCTAACCTTTTGGTTAGCAACCGAACTCTTAACCACTATGCCACCAGGGCTCTGTGCAGTTTAGCATTCACTCGACAAACTGATGGCTTTCTATGTGCCAGGCACTGTGCTCTGTGCTGGAGGAGAGATGATTAAGACTCAGGCTGTGCCTTCCAGGAGCTCACAGTCTAATTGGGGAGACACATGATAGGCAGTTACATTTCAGAGTGACAAGTGGCATGACGGAGGGTGAGTGGGAGCCAGGGAAGTCACCTAAACCAGTGGAGGGACTCAGATGCTTCCTGGGCGAGATGGCACGGACCACAGAGTAGATGTCATCCCACAGACCAGAAAGCACGTCTCATGTCAGTGTTGTTTGTGTCTTCAGTGCCTAGAACAAGTGCTTGGCAGGGGTAGGAATACAGTAAATGTTTGTTGTCTGATTTCCCAACAAATAATTAGGAGGCATAGAACAGCCTCCTTCGCTCCAGAGGCTGTTGGTGTCTCTCTTGTTCAAGAGTTCCCAGTGCCTGGAACCCAGAAAAGGTTTGAGGGTTGAATGCATGAAAGCAAACAGGGGCTGTGGAAGAAGGGAAATAAATAAATATAGTAGTTCATATTCGTTGAGGTTCACCACGTGTGAGACACTGAATTGACTGCTTTTCGTGTATGTCTGCATCTAATTATCACATCCACCCTATGAAGTAAGTACTATTACTCATTTTTCCAGTGAGGAAACTGACCCCCCAGAGAGACACCATAGAGAGGACTGAGTTCTGTAGACCTTGAAAAGTAGGGGCTGTTTTTGATAGATTTCCTGAGGCTTGGGCATGTGACTCTTAGAATAAAGATGAAGTCCCTAGCATGGCTCACATGCTGAGCAGAGTCCCCCTCCAACTCCATACTCCCCTTTGCTCTTTTTTCTCCAACTATGCTGGCATTGGATTAGTTCCTGGAACGTGCTAAGCTTTCTCCTGCCACAGGGACTTTGCACATGCTGTTCTCTCTACCTGAAGTCTCCCTGCCCCACCCCACCAGCTTGGCTTGCTGAACTCCTACTCATGGTACAGATTGGGAGACTTTTTTGGGTTAAAATCTGACTCCCTCATTAGACAGTGAGCTCCATGAGGGCAGGGACCATGTCCATCTTGCCACTGCTGAATTCCTAAAATTCAGCACAGAGACTGGCATATAGTTGGCCTTCAGTCAAGGTCTGCCAAACAAGTATGAGAGTGAATGCAAACCATATTATGCTATACCAAAAAAACAAAACAAAACTCAAACCCATTGTTGTTGAGCCAATTCACCATCCCTCCTCATAGGGTTTCCAAGGAGTGGCTGGTGGATTTGAACTGCCGACATTTTGGTGAGCAGCCAAGCTTTAACCACTGCACCACCAGGGCTCCAGTATTATGCTATAGGTGGAGCTAAATATGTATTTGTTGAGTGAATGAATAAGTGAACAAATGAACCATAACTGTTTCTCTGCAGTCCAGTGATGTGCTGGGAAATAGTTCAGCTCTCTGGGGCGGGGGGACGTCTTGGTTTGTGGTGTTTGCGGATTTCTGTGGTGTAAATACTCCCACTGTGGCCACTTTCAAGCTACCACTGAAATTCCTAAAAAGTTAACAGTTGGCTGTCATGAGCTGATAAGCACCGACTCTAGCACACTAGTGCATAAAGTCCCACAGAAGGAGACGTTCCCCAGATGCCTGGAATATGTGGGTGGTGGAGGGAAGGCAGAGGTGACATGTACTTTGTCCTGACCCCATCTGCATAGGAAGGGACTTTGCGTGTCTGTGGAGCATTGTTTCAAGAAAAATCAAGAATAATTAAGAGTTTCTGTCTTTGAAGTGAAGGATACGGGGTCAAATCCCAGCTCAGACCCTTACCAGGACCCTCTGTGATTCTGGGATAGGTGTCCTAACCTCCCTGAGGCTTAGTTTCCACATCTATCAAAATGAGATGTCAAAACCATGATGGGTGTGGCCAGGATTCCATGAACTAACTGGATGAAACAGTTGACCTCACATAGTGCTTAGTTAAGGATCCCTGGTGGCACAACGAACAGTTAAGCGCTCGGCTGCTAACCGAAAGGTTGACAGTTTGAACCCACCCAGAGGCTCTGCGGGAGAAAAACCTGATCTGCTCCCGTAAAGATTACAGCCTAGAAAACCCTATGGGGAAGCTCTACTCTGTCCTGTAGGGTCCCTGTGAGTTGGCATTGACTCAATGGTACCCATCAACAGCAATAGTACCTGGTTGTTGTGGGATCTCTATGTGATTGAAAGACTGATTAGACATAAAAGTACCAGACACATAGTAAGTGCTCAGTAAATGTTAGTTCTTGTTACCATTCCTTCCTGCCTCTTTTTAGTTGCTGTAGCATCTATGGAACGCCTCTGGGTAGTGCAAACAATTTACTCTCAGCTGCTAACCTAAAGGTTGGCGGTTCGAACCCACCCAGCAGCACCGTGGGAGAAGGACCAGGCAGGCGATTTACTTCTGTAAAGATTACAGCCAAGAAGACCCTATGGGGCAGTTGTATTCTGTAACACGTGGGGTTGCCATGAGTTAGAATTGACTCAAAGGCAACCGGTTTAACATCTGTGCAGTGCTATTCCTTGCCAGGCTGTGTACTGGCATTCAGCCTACTTATCTGTGAGTAAGGTGGCTGGTTAACTACAGTCAAGATTGGGCTGGCTTGTTTTTGAGACTTGATAATGCAACAGTGCTGCTTGCTTCAGGTTTTTGAGATGACAGGCAGAACTCACATCCAGAATCTATTTATCTGCTCACCCACAGACCTAGGTTTAACCCCTAGTTTCCACACAAACTAGGCATATGGCCCCAGGCAAGTTCCTGTGCCTTTTTGAGCCTCAGTTTCCTCATGGGCAACATGACGATAATTATCATCACTTCTCAAAAGGTGGTTTCGAGGATGAGAAGGGAGAGTGCATTTTAAAGAGCTTAACCCGGTGCAGGCCACCCTGAGTGCACGCTAAGTTGTAGCTCCTATTATGACCATTACATCATCCCGGAAGAGGGCAGGCTACTCCTTCAGACCACGTGCCTGCTGCAAATCACCCCCAGAAAGAACTTCTCAGAATCTCCTTTTCCCCAAGTTGGATGTAAGTCTAGCCCAAGCCGTTCTATTATGTGAAGACATTTCATTCCTTTAAGGAACTGCTGCAGAGGTCAGACAGCAGAGGCCAGTGGACAAGCTCTCTGAGTCATAGCCTCCTAGACAAATCCCAATGGGGTGGCTGGAAAGAGCCCCTGATCTTCACTCTAGGAGAACACAAGTGTGCAGAGCACTTTGGGGTCCAGTCATTTGCTGTGACCACCTGGTGGAGTGAAGTTGCACAGAAACATCAAGCTGTTGAACAAGGGGGGAGGCCCCCTCCCTCCCCCAACTATTTCCACCAGGTAGCAGAGAGAAGTTTTCAATGAAACCGTTTCATTGTCAGCAAAATCCACCTTGCTTGGGTGATTTGTCTTCCAGATTAGATCTGGGACTTCATGGGTTTGGTTCCTTGGCTAGAGTCTGGAATTATCTTTGGTAGAGAGGTCATCACACTCAGCGTAGTGTAGATAAAAGAGCCATCATCTAAGCCGTGAGGATAGCTGTGTCTGCCAGGAATCTTTTAGTGGCAAGTGACAGAAAAATCATATTGGCTTAAACAAGAAAAGGAATTCCTAGTACATGTAACTGAAAAGTCCAAGCCTGTTGGGATTAATTTCTTTCATCTTCTCTCTGGCCTTTGCTTTCTTCTTTTCAGTTTCTACTTTGAGCTAAGTCTTCTCTAATCCTAGCAACCCTAAACCCCATTGTCGTGGAGCCGATTCTGGCTCGCAGCAACCCTAGAAGCAGGAGGCTTTTAATTCACCATTAATGCTGCACAACTTCCAGATGGGTCTCTCATTGCAACAGTTTGAGTCACGTGCCCAGTCCTGAGCCAGTCCCTGTAGCCAAGTAATGGAATGTGCTGATTGGCTGGGCCGAGTCATGTGCCACTTCTAACAAGGGGTGAGTGGGATGAGCCCTATCATAGATAAGGGAGTGGGCCCTGGGGAGGGTGGTGCCCTAGAGGCAGATCAAGGTGCTGTTGTCAGATGCGTACTTCACCGGCATTTGAATCCGGGCTTCGCCTCTTACCAGCTAAGTGACCACAGGTGAGTCACCTGCTTCCCTGAGCCCCATCTCCGTAAAGGGATGAACCGAGATCACGTAAGCAAACATCCAGCACCTGGCACTACACGAAGGAGAAGCTCAGCTCACGTCTCCTCCTCCTGCTCTAAGTCAGCCTCAGGCGTCTTTCTCATCTGTCAAATGGAACAACAATGGCAGACCCACCCAACTCCTTTATTCATTCAGCACACATTCATTCCAGCACCCTCAGCGTGTCAGGCACTGAGTTAGCTGCCCAAGATAGAACATTGACAAGACAGGCATGGTCCCTGCCCATGGGGAGCTTACAGTCTAGTAGTTGTTAGTTGCCATGGAGTCGGCTCTGACTCACGGTGACCTCACGTATAACAGAGTGAAACATGGCCCTGGTCCTGCACTATCTTCACGATCGTTGGTCTGCCTGAGTCCATTACTGCGGCCACTGTGTGCCTTCAGTGCCGTCCAGCCTAGGAGGCTCATCTTCCAGCACTATATCAGACAACGTTCTGTTGTGATCCATAGGGTTTTCATTGGCTGATTTTTGGAAGTAGGAATCTAGGCCTCTCCTCTTCATCTTAGTCTGGAAGCTCCGCTGAAGCCTGTCCCCTGTGGGT